AGGGTATCTCATGGATGCCGAGACCTGCAGTGCGGGTACCATTTGTCATGCTAGCTGTAGTCGCTCGTCGTGGTCGACTGTCGATGTGTGTAATTGACGGGCGACAAGTCATAACGTGGTATTGCCATTTTTATCAAAATTGAGTTATACATTGATTCTAATTGAAAATATGGCGGGAAGTTCATTTCTGTCATTAATTCGTTGCTAACTTCATTTCTATTAAAGAAAAATGCAATTCAAAAAGTGTAGTTTAGGTCAAAACGTTGTATTTCCATACTCCTTTTTTTTCATAACGTATTAATTCCATTTTTGTGTCATAACGTATTATTTCCTATACATAAGGTATAGGGTTCAATATCCTGTTTTCTCAAAAGGTGTCATTTCCAATACATTTTTTCAAAACGTATTATTTCCATAAATTGTGACATAACGTAGTATTTCCCATGCTAAATATCCGAAGCAACGCCTAATTTTTATCAAAACGTATTATTACCAATATAAATATATTTCCGGTTTGAAAAAAAATTAAGTTTTAAGTTTTGGTAAATACACAGCTGTGCGCTGGCAGTGAATGTGTTATCATTTAGTAAGTAAACAAACATTCCGATATTTCTAAAAATAGTTTATTCCTTAAAGTATATTGGTTTGTTTATAACGAGTTATCAATTATGTGTGATTGTGGTAGTGTGACACCATAAATATTTTAATGTCACCTATCGAAGTTCAGAATATTAATTATTATTGTTCCGTCTTTCAAATGTTCAATATAATAATATAGATAATTTATTATTATAATACCTATTATATATGAATTACCTTCCTTTGCAATATAATTGAAATTAGAATGAAACGCTCAAGAAGAATGATTGAAGCTGCTAAAAAGGTAAGAAGTAACCAAAATACTGAAATAGACACGTTTTTATAAACTTTGATTTATAAATTAAATAATAGGTCTCTAGAAATCTTTTTCCACCTTCGACTCAAGCAGGGAAGCGTGATATTGATAAATTAGCCAATAAAACTGAAGTAAGTAGTATATTTTACCTTATAATAAAATTAATATTGAAATATATATTTGACATTAGTATATATTTCTTTAGATATTGTTAAGACTAATGTTTATTTGTTTAAATATTATACCTTATTCTGTCATAATACTGTACCGCTTTGATAAATTAATACTCCATTCTCTAATACCTCTACTAAAATGTTAAATGGTAGGTAATCAATTAATATTGTGTATTTTTTAAAATTATTATTATAATAAGATTATTCATCAATATTCAATAATACTTATTACTACTAGTAGTTAAATAGGTAGTTACTTTAAAGGTACCTAATATTGATAATTTAAAAACATTTACTAATATTGCATGTGTCTTGTGTACAAATAAATAAATATTAAAATGTATAATGTATATTCATCTAAAGTTAGTAGGTAGTTGATTTACATTTTACAAAAAAAGTAATTATACATTTTTTCCAATTAAGTCAATATTATATTAAGCTACAAAATCTTTTAAAATGTAGAAAAAAAGTTAGATTAGTGATGAAAACATAGATTTCTGAACATATAAGAAAATTTATTATTTAATATTTATTTTAAAATCTCTATCATAATATTTTACTGTTGTATATAATATATTTGTATTGATTTATTTTTTTATATTAATGAATGTAGATCAGTATTTATATCATATGTATTTTTGTCTAGGATAAAATTAATGAGTGGTTAATGTCTTGTGAAAAAAAATCATTAAGTAACAGCAGCAAATCTAACTCCATTAAGGTATAATAATATATTAAAAATTAGATACAATAAATTATAGAAAAATATGTGTTCTAGCAAATAATAATCACACAACAACTAATATTATATTATTATATTTTAGGATACTGCTGATGAAGAACAAAACAAAACTGATTTATCTGTCAACAAAATTAATGAAAATGTATTCAATGTATGCAAGTATAATAATATAGTCTTGGGGTAGTTGAAATAATTATTAAAAGAGTATTTTTTGTCTTGCAGGACAAAATTACAAATTGGTTAAATGCATGTGAACCACTGAATTATAACAACTCAAGAGACATTATTAATATGGTGAGATTGTATAAGTGGAGTTACCTATTTATTGAATTAAGCTAATATTTGAAATTATATTTAATATTTTTAGAACCAGGATCTTCTGAATATTAGTGAAAATACAGAGCTTACAGACACATTATTTTTTTCAAATACTCCTGAAGTAAAAATATGAAAATTGTATTAATTTTTACATTGTTTTAATTATTGTTATTTAATATATTTATAGAATGATCTAGACATCCATGAAATGGATTTTATTTACAACAATGATGAACTAGTTCCTGACAATAACACACCACTTGATGACTTGTTTCCTATTGTTATACAAATACCATGCACTACTGATCTTGATCATGTAACTGAACATGATACACCTGCTAAAGTCTCAAACATAAGTTCAAATCCTGAGTATGCTGAACCTGTACAGACAAATCCAAGTGGTAGAAAAAGAAATAAAAAAAATCAAAAGAAAATAAAACAAATAAAATTAAACAAGATTCCTCATGAGTGGTTAATTACATGTCCTCACTCCAATAAAATATCAAAAAAATGCAATGTATCAATTTTAAAGCCAACTGATATAAGCGCTTTTAAAACAAATTTATGTGATTTATCTTCCAAAATAGAACAAGATAAATTCCTCCTTACAATGATGAAAATTAAATGTCCAATAAGAACGGATCGTCGCAAAGGAAACAAAGAAGAAAAAACAGTGATTGTTTATTATTTGCCTACAGAAAAAGGTGACCTTCTTCAAATCTGTTCAATTGCATTTACTGACATTACAAGAATTACAAAAAGGCGTTTAAATATATTAGCTTTAAACTTAAAAAAAAGTCATAGTAGCCCCAAAGAAAAAAGAGGAGGATTTAGTATTACAAGGGTAAATACATTTGACGAAATAACTATATCTATTAAAAACCATATAGAATCTTTTAAAAGTAAAAAGAGTCATTATTGTAGAGAAGATACAGGCCGTAGTTACTTGCAACCCGGTTTATCTGTGGCAGTTATGTGGAAACATTGGAAGAAAAAGAGGGAAGTTAGTAATCAATCTACTGCATCTCTAAGTAAATATTATGATGTGTTTTGTAATAATTTTAATTTGAGTTTTGGTCATCCAAGACAAGATGTTTGTTCATTTTGTTCTGAAACTTCAATTAAAATAAAAAATGAAATTGATATTGAGAAAAAAGTTGATTTGGAAGATGTATTATTGGAACACAAAAATAAATCAAAATGTTTTTCTCGAATGATGGCAGAAAAAATACCGAATACTGTTCAGGTATGTTTCGATATGATGCAAAATCAACCACTTCCTAAACTGAGTGTCACAGATACATTTTATAGTAGGCAAGCATGGGTTTATAACCTTACTTTTGTTATAATGTCAGAGAATGACCAGAGTAAAGATAACTGCTACTTGTATACATGGCACGAAGGTGAAAGTGGTCGTGGACCAAATGAGATTGGATCAGCTTTGTTACACTTTTTGGACATTCTAGAAGAACGGTTTAAAACAGAGCTAAGACCGCCCACGAGACTCAACCTTTATTCTGATTCATGCTCTGGTAAAAATAAAAATAAATTTATAATGGGTTTATTATTATATTACATGAATTGTAAAGAAACTATATTTGATAAAATCAAACACATTTTTCCTGTCAGAGGACACAGTTATATGGCTGCAGATCAGGTATTTGGTAGGATAGAGAAAGTTCTAATCAGAACCGATATTTTCAATAGGTCAACGTCATAATTATTATCCGCATTATGTGAGTATATTATATATTATAATAAACATATATACGTATACCTA